CCTTATGCCTTGTCCAGAGGGGCGTTCCCAACGAGAGGTAATTGCACTGGACAACGATAAGGCTGAAGATACCCAGAGGGGCGTTCCCAACGAGAGGTACTTGCACTGGGGAGACTTAATTCCAGAGGGGCTTTTCCAACGAGAGGTACTTGCACTGGTTTAAGTCTGCCTTTGCTGCGGCTTGCAGCGCAATTTATATTAATTTATTGCTGAATTGGAATAAACATTCGATCGAATCGGCAATTAAATTAATAAGGTTGAATACCGGGTCCTCCTTTCCTAAGCAGCTAGTTGACAGTATGGTTTATTTTCATTCATTATTCAGGACTATAGCTTTTCTAACAGCCTGTATCTCTGAAATAGGGTACTTTTGGACCCATCTTTATAGGAATTTTTGCTCTTAATTTGAGATGTAGAATCCGCAGTTAAAATATTAACCTCTAATTTTGGGGCACCCTGTGTAATGTTGCTGAACAACAACGGCGTTGCTATACAAGATCAAATGCTGAACAAACTTACAAAATGACCCTGTACCTACATATAATAGAAAGTTATAATTTTATTTTCCATTAATAAAAGCTTATCGCGCCCGACTTTGTTTACTTTTTTTTCTCTTCATAATAAATCTACCCCAATACCACAGCCTCCTATAGTTAACAAGCCATGAAATTGGAAATGACGGCAACGTCGCGTATGGTGCTATTTTGTTATTGGGTTATGTGTTCCTGTGTGTTGCTTTCATTGTGTATTGTTGCAATTTAGTATTTTTATGGGCATTATTGACGAAAAAGTGGATAGAAACACACCAATATATTGCCCATATTTAGTTGATACCTGTTCCTTTGTGCTTTGATTGCAAATTTTTAGCAAATGGGTACAGGAGCAAAAATGAAGGTAAGGTAAGGTAAAACAATAAAAACAATATTAATATTTGTCTGCAAGAGCATAGGTCTCGATATATTACCTAAGATATTTAAACTTGTTCCAGATGCCATGAAACTACTGTGTTCCTGGGTGCAAATCGAACTATTAGGAGTTCCTTAAAAACTGAAGAAATGCAAACATTTTTATTTCCAAAAAAATTCTGAAGTGCAAAAAATGTGGATGAAAGCAATACACCAAGATAATTATACCCGAGATTATACAATAACGAAAAATTCTGTGGTGTGTTGTGAACATTTTGAAAAAACCGAAATAATTAGATTTGAAACAAACAAGGATAAAGGCGTAGTTCGAGAGTTCAAACTAAAACGTCCAACTCTTAAAAATAGGTACCTCTTATTTTCGAAAATCAACTCAAGTATTTGAAGGGACTTGCCTTCCGAAAAAATCCCGAAGAAAGAAAAAGTTAGATTTTCAAAAGACATACTGAAACATAGGCCTATAACACTTTAGACTCTAGAAATATATTCATTTAAATCAATTATTTACTGTTCTTATTTACACAAATAGTTAAATTATTCATTGAATTACTGTTTTTGGCCCTTTAGTACAATAAATTATATATTTTTTATGATTCATATTAATAAAATAAAAAATATATATTTATACAAACAAACACCACCAGCACCACTTGGCGGTAAGATTGCGGTGTTGCCTTTTTAACTTCATGGCTTGTTAAATGTAGGGGGCTGTGCCAATACCAATAGGTATAGACTAAATCACGATAGAAAGTGAAGTTGACAGTTCGCGTTGACATTTTTCAGTAAACTTTTTCTTTAGGTTGTCAGCATGCGTTAGCGCTTCGATTCCGACAGTTGGGATAAACGACAGGGTCGTATTTAGAAAAGTGATATACATTTCAGAATAAAAATTTATTTTCAATTTCTTTAAAGGAAGTTAAGTTATTAAAATCCAAAAATCCTGAAATTAGAGTCCAAAGTAAACACTTATAATAAGAGTAAACACTTAAATCCAAACTAAAACCAGGTTTGAAACGCAACACCAAAATACAAAGGCACAGAACACTACATAAAAAACCAAAAAAACCGATTGCGATAATAAGAAATAAAAAAATTATGCAGTAAACGGCAAAAAACTGAAAGATTTCACACAAAAATTCGAAATTCAAAATTCAAAGACCCGAATCTGTTATTTTTATGTCAAATCAAAATGTCATGTATCATTATTTGCTAATTGTCAAAAAAAGGGACAGATCTGGGGATTTTATTTATTTTCAACTGGTGAAAATAACGGTCAAAATTCAAACTCTCTCGTGAATACGACTATACCAATGAACATAATAATTATTAACATCTTGTACAGCAATAGCCGGGATCCACGACAGTTACCGGTGGTTGTTGATGACGTCAATCAAAACGCGCCATAACCGAGATTCGTATCAATACCGGTGCCGGGAGGCTAGGCACAGCGTATTTTATTTTTAACTTTTCACTAAAAATGATAAAAAAATGTTAAAGGATAGTTAAAGAACCAAAGGACCACGCACGGATCTTATGAGAAAAAATAAATTTCACGATTGTCATGAAATTGAAATATGTTATGCTTCTCGTCCTCCTGAACATAAGTTCTCGTAGGCCCAAAAAGATCCTATGATTAGTTTCGGAGATACAGGACAGATAAAAAAAAACATTAGCATAAGAAAAATCTCCAGAATCTCCTGGTCACCTGGTCATTAATTTAATTAATAACCAAAAATGACATATTTTTGACATTTTTCGACAAGCTTTTAACCTAAAAAGTATGTAATATGACATTATTTTGACTTTTTTTACCTGTTTTTTACCTAGAATATGTCATTGCCTAAACTCAACATATTTCGAAATGTTTATTTTTTGTCAAAATTTTTATGTAAACCCGACCCTGTATCGCCGAAACTAATCATAGGATCTTTTTGGGCCAACGAGAACTTACGTTCAGGAGGTCGAGACAGGGCCGTAGCGATATGACTATCCGTAGGGGGGGAGACTGACTAAGACCCCCTAAGCGCCACGAAGGCAATTCAGAGGCGAAGAAAATGGGACTTTTTTGCAACTTTGATAGACTATAAAACCTAAACAGGTAATTTTTGACTTTAGAACAAAACCGATTTGACATTCTTATCTTAGATTTCCATAAACTATCATTTGACCCCAACTTTGAATTTAATCCATGATTGAAAATTCCTTACAGCCTGGCAAAGTTGCAAAAAAGTCAATTTTCAAGGTATAGGGTATAGCACACGAGATCTGCTCAGAATTTTACCACAGCATATGCAAAAACAAACAGCAGGTTAACTCTTACGCGCATCTCTTCTGCGCACGCCGCCATTCAAGGATACAGACCTCGAATTAGCCTGCTGATTGTTTTTATATATGCTGCGATTTTAGTACAGGAGGGGTGAACTTCATAACCAATAACCCTGTACGTCACCGAAAGCATCGACTCAGCGGTTGGGTTCGGTAATTGCATCTGCGAGCAAAAAAAGCGAATTTTGACGGACGTCACGGTATCACTTATCCCCCACTTATCTTTTTTCACGTGTCAAATCACGTAACATCTGTCAAATTTTGCTCATTTTGCTCTTTGCTCGCAGATGCAATTGCAAGTACCGAATCCAGCCGGTGATTCACCGAGTTTCCGTTGCCCCGTGCATGCTAAATTAGCATAAAAATACTATCCTTTCTGAATTATAATAGTTGTAAAATAGTATTTAATTACCTACTCGGACACTTGCCTTTTAGCTATTTTTTTTTTTGCACTTTGCCTATTTTGGCGCCCCTGTGCCAGCTGCGTCCTGGGGGGGAGATTCCCCCGTCTACCCCCCTGTTGGCTACGCCACTGGGTCGAGAAGCATAACATATTTCAATTTCATGACAATCGTGAAATTTATTTTTTCTCATAAGATCCGTGCGAGGTCCTTTGGCGATTTAGCTAAGAATGGTTTAAGGGAGACATAAAAACTAAAGAGTCCACTAAACGTGGTGCAAAGCGTCAAAATCACTAATGACGCTTTAAGGGACAATTAGCTTAAGGGTCTCATAAGAAAAAGTCGGTGCTAATGGGAGTTAACAACTTTTTTTTAGATCTCGTTTGCATCTTCCTCTTTGCCTATTATGTCAATCAAAAGTAAATATTATTTTTAATCATAAATGTATATTCTCAACTACGACCGCTGGCGCATAGGCAATCCAACGACCTTTCCAAAAATCCAAATGGCGTCTGGTTGGCAAACAATAAATAAAAAACGTATGTTTTTTTTTTGGCAGGATTAAGCCCTTGGCCTAGTACTCATAACAGCGAAATTCGCTCTTTTTTGACATTGCTTCGAAAATTTGACGTTTTGTGCGTGAATCAAACATCATTGTCGAAGCAATGTCAAAAATGAGTGAATTTCGCGGTTATGAGTACTAGGCTTTTTATCTTAGGGTGGGTTCCGTTGCCAACCTTGGTTACGGTTACACGTTCCGTGATGTCTGGTTCCTGAAGAACCGGTCCATACGGAACGCGGTTGGTTATGTCGAACATGTCACCAAAGCAACCGGCGGCGATTCTGCGATTGAAAACGCGTTCCGTATGAAACCGAATTTTTCAGCAACCAACCAACGACCGGTTAACCAGGTTAGACAACGGAACCCACCCTAAATCAATAGGGCAAGTACACTATCTGACAGTTTGACACTATTGACAGTCGCCTTGAGGTAAAACCAATGAACTATAGCTAAAAACTGGAATGCGCACACATTGCCATATCTGCCAAAAAAATGAAGCCATGAAAGACAGATGCCAGAAGGGGGAATGTTGTTTTTTTCTGTTGCTCGCTGACATATGACGTTTTCGAAAGTTTTGTCATATTTCCCTTCACAAGTTTCATCAATTGGAATACGTGTTGGAAGCAATTTTCGCCATTTAACATAATGAGTGCGACAAAAACAGGTATCCCCTCCGCAGCAGCCGCACTAGGCTTCAAGTTCGTCGCTTATGTGTTAGCATTCCAGTTTTTGGTTATAGTTCATTGGTTTTACCTCAGGGCGACTGTCAAACTCATTTGTGACGTCACATGGACATGCCCTATACACGGGGCGATTAATCAAATCTGACACTTTTCTGACATGTAACAACCCGTATTCTAACCTCATTAAAATTTCAAAATGCCGGCTGGTTGGTTGATGACGTCGTCAATGGTGCTCTAAAATATGGCCGCGATTCCCAAAAAAAGGAATCCTGTGTAGTAGTCTTAGATCATATATATATGTTATTCACATATGGATACAGCGAAAGCCAACAATTATGTTGACAACACATCCAAGACATACTTAAATCGTCTTTCTTTGTTTAACACGCAGATCTCTTATGAGCTTTATCTTTCTTTTGTCTTGCATGGCTTCTTATTGGCCGCAAATTTGGAAAAGTGACAGAGAAAATATAAGGTTAAGTTCATTTGTTTGTTTACATTTACTCTGTGTAAGGAGAAGGAGAGTTTGATAGAATTTTTATAATATATTTGATTTACTGACAACTTAAACTGGTGGAAAAATAGTATTGTTTACAGTTCAAAAAATGCTGTCGAGTGATTTCTATTCTCATATTTCAATTATGCTATGCAAGTGATTGATATGTGAATAAAATATACATATATCTACCGAGTCTTTCTAGATACGTTTGGCTTCTGCTTTTACTGGCAGAGTTGCTCTATTGCAATGGGTTTTAAAATTAACTAAGAATGTATATTGCTCTATTCGAAATATCGAAAGCAAATGGCAAAACCGGCAGAACGCAGAAATCAAAACAATCGACAATCAAGCGAGGGTTGCCAATGTTGCCAAATCATTTTTTCAATAAGAATACTACAATAAAATAATTGATATTTATTTACTTTTGAATCTTGAATTGCTTGAAATCTAGAATAAATGCTATTTTTATTATGTGATTTTGCTTCTAACAAACAATTTTATAATTAGGGGAAATGTGAAGAAATATCAAAGCTTATACAATATTAATCAATTTGGCAATATTGAAAATTGAGTAAGTTAGCAAAGACGGATGTTATTACTTCTAACTGCGCATGCTCAGACGGTGAAACAAAAGAGAGATAAATTTATATCATTCATGAGGCTATGAAAGAGATAAATGGAGAAAAGCACGTCTTCATGTTGGAAACAGGAAGGTATGTTATTTCAGAGGGGATTGCTGTATCCATATGTGAATAACATATATATATGATCTAAGGTAGTTGTGTGTATTATCCTTGCGCCTGTAGTCGGTAATCGGTGTCGCACCGGTTCAAAAAGCATCAGCATATCCTTAAAGAGCGGAGCTTGATGAAAACGCTAGTGCTGTAGTGGTGTCAAAAGTCAAATCACTTTTTTCCATTTGTTTCATATGTTTGTTATGATTTGTATTTATGAGGAGATTATTCAAAAAATATCCAAAATCAACAGATTCAAGCAATATAATATGTGGTTTAAATTTGTGTAAGGTGTAAGTAATTTTGGAAAAGAGAAAAGACAAATGAAGCTATGATTGAATCATGTCCCAAAAAACGTATGCTGTTAGGAATTACCTTGCTAGGAATGTGAGTACTTTTTCCCTTAAATTATGAATCAAATATTCACGTACCTTTATCTTTTCAAGATTAACCATTGTAGTACTAATAGTCGAATCGCATTGGACAGACAACAATCACATACCAACACGAAAAACTAACTTTGAAGTGGAGCACAATTCTACATGTTTCCAGAAAGAAGCTTACGAAGTAATAAAAGACTGTGAACCTTGTTCAGCCTATGAACTACGAAGCAATAGCTTGGGCGTTTGTATACACACTCAATACAAAGAGGTTTTGAAGTGTGCAAATGGAGAAACAGTTTCAAGAAGTTGTGATAGGGCTGCCCATCATGACGAAAAAATATTTTGGAGATTTGAAGGATTCATGTTCGGGCTTAGTATCATCTCGACTCTCTGTGTTACAGCCAGAAAAAAAGTGCTCAACAAACGAATGTTGCAAAGGGTACAGAGACAATTAGCGAATTGTGTTTAACTTTCTTGTAATTTGCGTGTCACATATATCACAGCTAAAGAACATTATAATTTTCTTGAGATAATATATAGCATCATTTGGTATTCGTATTATACTATACCACAGGGAACCTATTTGGTTTAAAACTCTAGGGCTTACCATAAAAAAAGGTTTCACTCAATAGGCTCGTTCAGTGAGGTTCCATTAACCACGTTTTTTGATATTTTTATGGAGTATTACTCACATATAGCACACAAAAAAAAATTCAGCGCAATTGGATAAATATTAAAAAAGTTATGCGGCTTTGAATAATAAAACATTATGCCTCAGAAATTAATCGCTTAGAGATGGTATGACGTCATCTCTCGAGTCAAGACGGGCTAAAGGCCGTCACACAACCAACTTGAGAGATGCAGTGACGTCACCGCGTGTTTCGAAATTTCCAAACTTGGAGCTTTTTGATAATTTATTTAAATATGAACAAGGGCTCGGAAAATTATGAAATTTTGCACAACTGCTAAACTCAATACGCTCTTTTAGAATATGTAATAAAAAAAATATGCTGAACGAGTCTATTACTGCCCTGTTGAGATGATTAACAGTTGTATTCTTTTCAAGAGTTTAAAGCACTAGAGCTACTCGCTCTGGTGTTAGTCGACCTCGATTCGAAAGGAATAGATGCCTTGGCTTTCATGAATTTAAAAGTTTTAGTTCGGGCTTGAGCACTTCAGGTGCAACAAACATTTTTTGAAAGGAATAAGCGCGTAACGCTCCGGAGCACACGCTACTACTACAGGATAGCCTATCCTCTATCCTTATAAGGCTTGTGTGTGTGAAACAAATCCCCTGCCAAATAACCAGTTGTGACGTAGGCAGCATGTTATTTCTCGCCTTGACTGGCTGTTTAAATAGCTGACGACTTAGTTATGACGTCGGAGATGGTGACACACCAATATGGCGGCGATTATCAAAAACGAGGCCGATAACCAATCCTGTAGGTGTGTATCATCCTTGGTTCCGGAGCTCCTCTTAGGTGTGAAAGGAATACAACTATTAGGAAGATATGATTCTCTTGAACCTGGGCCTACAGTAACATTACCAGTATCATAATAGGTCTGTTTCTGCAGGAATCACAAGCCAATCAGAGCGAATTTCATTGGTTGAAAACAGTCAGAAAACTAGTTTCAACCAATGAATTTGATCACTCTAACTGGTTTGTGATTTCTGCAGAAACAGACCTATTATAGTTATTCTTGCCAATTTGCTGTATAATTTCGCCAATATGTCAATGAATCATAATACCATAGCTGCCTACTTTCAGTTCATACCAAATAATCTTTTGAAGTCTGTTTTTTTTTTAAAGGTAAAAGTCAAAATGACATAATGTTGGCAATACAATGTAAAATTGTCTTGCTTTCAATTTTTTATGTAGAAAAGGCTTGTGTTGCCAACTCTGTGCTTCAAGCACGGTGCAGCACAGTGTTCTATGTTTGAAACGCAAAAGTTAGCAGCTCTCGAAGCGCAGTACGGCTGGAATACGAACACGCGCTTGAAGCATTTGCGCGCGCAAAAGCTCGATTGCGTGCTCAAAAGCGTGAGCTGGAAAGCGGCTATGGTTACTAAATTTTTGACTTGGGAAATTATCTTAAAAAAAAACAGACTTTAGTTCTGACATCGATGACGCCATATTTAAAATCGTTATCGCCAACCATGAAAAATATTCGCCGTCGGACTGGCTTGATAGGAATTTGAATTTCCCGCTGGCGATTCAGTTGGCAGCATTGCTCTAAAAAATATAACGTCAAATTAATTTCTTGACATTTTGAATGATTGCGGTTTGGCAAGTTTAAAGCTACATCCTCAATCAATCTGGTAGCGAAGTGACACTTTGGCACGCGTGCTGGAAAATTTATACCCATCCTCAATGCTGTCAATATTCAGTCTGCTCTGCGTGTAGTACGGTCACATACCGTGCATTCGGTATTTTGATCTGAGTTCTCTGAGCATGAATTTACCGTTCGTTTATTCAAAAAGTATACTCGGTTCAGGCTCATTCACGTTCGTTTAATAAAATTTCGAGCCCTCTGATACAGCGTTTAACTGCTCTGTGCGCTCGCTGGTCACGTGATTACGGCTCCGCTCCGCTCTTTGAGCAAAATACCGAACGCAAGGATAACCTAAATTATTTTTTAACGTACTGCGCATGACATAAGTCGGCACGCATCGAAAAAGCTGGCAGCTTGCAACTTTCACTTCGGAGTCGACGTGCATGCCAGCACGAAATTGTATTGAGGATGCCAACGTTAAACAACATTTTCCTAGCTTGCGTGCCGAAGTGCCACTTCACTACTAAATTGATTGAGGATGAGCCTTTAGTGTTTGAGTTTTTGGTCAAGTGCTATGAGCTTGTTTTTTTTTTATATCAGACGGCAAAGCTGTGCTGGTGGGAGATTCTCATCCTCTAGTCGCAACCTATCGTCCCGATTATCCCATAGCCTTTCTACGAGTGAGTCGGGATGATAGGTTGCGACTAGAGGATGAGAATCCTCCCCCTGGTCGAGCGACTAAAAGTTTATTTGGTATGAACTATGGTAAAATTAGTTCAACTGTCGTTTGGTTTGTTACCATTTCCGACATCATAACTAGTCTACAGCTGTTTAAACAGCCTACGTCAAGGCGAGAAAGAACATGCTGCCTACGTCACAACTGGTAATTTGGCATGGGGGAGAGGAGGAATTTGTTACTCACAGGCCTTATGAGGATAGGCCATCCTGTAGTAGTAGTGTTTATCATCCTTGAATGGGGGCAACCCACTAGAATATTTTCGAGATTGTGGCACTTCCGGTTATGAGCCGTTTTACACGGCAAAGTTTCTTTACGAAATTATTCCCGAGTTGCCGAAATATTTCGTAAGTCAACTTTTCCTGTTTTACACGACAAGAAAAACTTACGAAATATTTCATCAATAAACTTTAGAAAATGTTCTATAGTTTTTGTGGGCGTGGCCGAATAAATGCGTAAGTTTTGGCGCATAGTAAAAGGCAGTTTCTTTTTCGTCGAGCCTTATGAATGCGTCATTGGATTTTCTATGTAATAGATAAGGATAGACTGCTCATCGGTGAGAAAAGTACTGCACCCAAAAACAGCTGGGCAAAGCAAAAAAAAAACTTCATTTATACAAGGAAAAAACAAATTCAACTTTATGAAACTGCAGAAAGGTACAAAGATTCAACATCAATCAGAAAACGAGAGTTTTATTTGTTTTCGTTTACCAAAGTATTGATTGTTGATATTAATGATGGCAAAACGTAACTGCGCCTGCGTATGACTAATATTTTCACGAAACTTTTGCTAAATTTTATTTGCGGTATCTAACAGGAAAAAGCGAAATCAAGAATAGTAAACTTACGATTACGAAATATTTCGGCAATAATTTCGTAAAGAAACTTTGCCGTGTAAAACGGCTTTATGCCGGAAGTAGACGTCAACTTGCGTATTTTAAATGAGACACCCTATATTATTATGTGATTGCATATTTGGATTCTACGTTAAATTCTGAACAGATATCATGGGATATATTCTATACCTAAGTTCAACTGTTTTGGAAATATTGACAGTGTCAAATGATAGTTTATGAAAATTTAAGATAGAAATGTGAAATCGGTTTTCCTCTAAAATTAACCGTTTAGGTTTTACAGCCTCAATTTTCAACTGTCAATATTTCCATTTTTCCAAAACAGTTTGAACTTAGGTATAGGGTATAATCACATGAAATCTGCTCAGAATTTTACCTAGAATCGTTGATTGAGGAAGTAGAGGAAGATGTCTAACCTCTATAGAAATAATCGTAGCTTGCGACAAAAATTATTCCCATCTCTCTCGTCTTTTTTCGGCGACGGTTGATGTCGGAAAACACATCATTGATTGGTGCTGCCACCAACAAATGTATGGCATTTTGTGTAAACAACGACCGATTAGCGAATGAGGGGACATGAGAGGGATTGAGGGGTCTCAAAATATTTAAACAGCATAATGTAGAATCGTATTCTTGTTGTTAAACAGCGTTGCCAGGTCTCAAGGAATTTCTCATCTTTCTGGGGAAAATTAACGATTTTATTATTGTGTGTACCTATTTATTAGGTACCTACACGCAAATACCTACAATTTATTAACTTTTGTTTTGAATTTTGGTATAGCATATAGTTTCGGCAAATTGAAAAAAAAAAATTAAGACAATTAAATTCAAGAATTATCAATAGTAATAAATAACCAGTGCAATGGAAATTAAATTATCGATAGTTTTTGGGAAATTGTCCCGAATGCATTTTAGTGCACGGGTGCCTTTTTCAGTTAAAAACGCATGAGTGCAAATTTATGAAAAATTATAAATACAAATATATCAGGCTTGTGTTTAGAAATAGCACTCTGGGTGTGAGAGTGACCCTAGAGTAACTCTAAACCGTTTATAAATTAAGAGGTGCTTACTCGGAGCGTTAAACCTAGTACTCATAACTGCGAAATTCGCATTTTTTTGACATTACGTCGACATTTTGATGTTTTATGCGTGTATCAAACGTGTGGATCAATGTCAAAAAAGTGCGAATTTCGCAGTTATGAGTACTAGGCTTTACGCTGGAATCGTTCAGAAATCGAGAGTTGACGTGCCAAGAGTGTGCCCAAATTAGGGCGGGTATTATAAAACTGCTTTGACAGTTAACTTAAAGTTAACTTTTTGAATTACATGTAATTCCAGAAGTTAACTTTAAGTTAACTCTCACAGTAGTTTTATAATACCCGCCCTTAGCCCACTCAGGGACTGGGTTGAAAAACGCCCCGAGGTTTTCACCGGGTTTGACTTTGACATTTAGTGCAATACCCCAATTAATTACGTTCAGAAAAGGCGCACCCAGAGTGCACTCTAAGTGATGACGTCAGATCACTCTGACAAACAACTACTCTACCTTGACCCTCCATTTCTAAACGCACTCTAGGGTGAGTCCGAAATAAGTGAGCATTTTGTTATGATAGATAAATTACCAATAGGACAATCACTCTTTGCATAGGTACAGTTGCGATCAAAAAAAAGTAGTACAAAAATTATT